GAAAGGTTATTAGTCATAATTAATTATTACATATTATGTCCATGCTTTAAAAGATTATACTGCACCCCACCAATATGTGCAGTTATTACATTAATATAAATTTTAAATGAAAGAAAATACTGATTACAATTCAGTTTTATTAGAACAGATAAACAAATTATCAACTATCTAATAATGAAAAAAACATTCTGAAACTCTGGATAAAAGTTGTAATATTACAATGACTGTCATATATATTGGAAAATATATGAGTATAAATATAGATGTACATTTCCAATGTTTATATATTTTCCCTCCAAAAATGTATACACTTTACACACTTCAGGAAAAGTGGGCAGCCTTGACCTCTCTGTCTGTGATGGAGAAGCAGCAACAGTACCAAACCCAGTGCTTTTATTTATACAAAGTAAACAAAGAAGAAAAGCATGCCATGGGGTTGACACTGCAAAGTCTTAGTATTCTGCTAAGAACATTGAAAGTGAAAACATTCTCAAGACATCTGAGTTATAGATAACAAAGGACACAAAAGCTGGACACCTATTGATATGCATATCAGCTGGAGGTCAACCTGTTTGCACCCAGTGTCTCCACTGTCTCCCTTGCTCTGTGTCCTTGGGACTGTGTTTGCTCTAGCTTCTAGGAATTTCCTGACTTTCAGCTCAGTCATAGAGCCATGGCTCCCCACATCTCCCTTTTTTTTTATTTCATTGTTGCAATGTATAATCAATTGAAGTCAAAAGAGCTGTTTTTGGAAGACTCTGCTGTGAATGTAAAGACAAATAATCCAACACCAACTTTATGAGGCCAAATATAATTCAGGCTGAATTACATAGTACATGAAAGGGTTAAATCCACTTAATAACGTAAAACAGTATTGACCAATTACTTGGGGGTCAAAATCTGCTGTAGCTATTAGAGTGACTAGTGACACTATCCCTAAATAATTAACCTAATCAGACCCTATAAGGTCTGATTAGTTGATTTTGTATTTCTTTGTGAACTTCCATGCCTCAATCACTGTAGCAAGTTCCAAAGATATTGACTGGGACTGTCACAATAGAGAGCTGATATGAGACTACATCTTTGCTGTGTTGTGGGTAGATAGGCAGGAATTAAGACTGCAATTGAAACTAGGCATGGTATGTTGTGGCCTGGCTTTAACCAATGCACCTCTTTCCTGTTGTGTACGCGCCGTTTCAATAGATATTAAAATTCCTTTTCCAGTAAAGACTTAAGTTTCAGCTCCTTGTAAATCCCGCCAATGCCTTCCGCACGTTTCTGCAAGGTGTGCTGGTCTGGGAAAATGTTTAACCAGTGAGCAACAGAATGTACCAAGAATGTTATCTGAAATAGGTTGATAGCTTTGTGGGTTTTCAGCTTTAAAACACCAACCCTTTAGCTGTAAGGTGTGCAGTCTTCCATATTGGCTCTGGGAGGCTACTTCACCAGGCCTGGCCTAAAATAAAGCCTTTGTTCCCTAAATTTTAATTTCTTGCTTCCTTGGATTTTATTCCGGGGTCTGAGCTATCACAAGTATAATGGTTAGATTGGTTAGAAATGTTGACTTTTTTAGCCAGGAGCACATTAAGAGACTGGACACAAGAAATAGCATAATGAGCAGAGTGTCCATTTCCCCTAAATCCTTCATGCTAGCATTCATTGATTATTTTTTTTACGTAACTGGAAAAAGCCAGCATCTGAGAATATTTCTGCTGATGTCCCTGAGAGGTAATGAGTATAGAGGCTGGGAAGATGCCCATGAAGCTTGTTTATGCTAGACCAATCATGTAGAGTCAGGTTCCTCAAGGGGGTACGATTAATCTCAGGGATGCAACATTCAATCAAGGGACAAAGCCCCCACGGGACACCACATTACTGACATTATGGAAATCTTGCAATAGGCAATGGGAAGAATTTGTATCATCTAATAGCATGGTGAAACCCATTATAATGGCCAGGGATTTAGCTCAGCAGTATAAGTACCTTCCTGGAGAACACAAGGTCCTGAGTTCAATTTCCAGTACAAATCCTCCGCAACCTGCCCCCTACAAAACACAACAACAAAATCCCTGAAGACTATTAGAGAGATAATCTCATTTGTAAACTGTTCAGAAACATTTTAACCAATGCTGATTTTTCTAGCCTCACTGACCTAAGCATGGGAATGCACCTGTGGATGAAAAATATATGGGCAACTCCATGCTACACCCATTTTTCTCTCTCACTCTAATGAGTTCATCTGTCTTTTTTGGCTTCTCTGGAGCCTATTTCTTTCTTCAGATTTTGTGAAGCCTACCTCTCTCCTAGTTTCTTTTAAGTCTGTTTCCCTCTGTGGCTTCTCTTAAGACTATTTCTCTCTTTGACTTCTCTGGAACCTATTTCTCTGTGCAGCATACCAAGAGGGCTCCTTTTACCTGTTTTCCTATGCATTTCCTCATTCCCTGAGTCCCAGTTCAGGTGCCAAATGCCACGTTCTGCACAGCTCTCAAAGATTCCAGGGTGAGGGCAGTGAGAGGATGGAGAAAAAAGAACAAGAGGAATACAGAAAACGGAGGCAAAGTGGATCCCTCTGTTCTGAAGGGGAAGAAAGTAAAGGAGAAGAAAGAGGAGTGGGAGGAGATTTCCAATGGCTGCTTCATGTTTATTGATACACGTGGGAGATGGAATACCACGTGAAACCCTTTCCCCTGAGAGCTTATCCCCAAGACTTGCCTGAGGTGCCCAGTGTGCTTGAACCTAGAGCAGCTCATTCGTGAGACTTTCCTCAGGCACTCTGCTGTCTTGAGGCTGGCCTTGCTCCTGCCTAGATCATGATCCATCTCCAGCTGCAGCTGCGCCACACAGTTTTAACATTGCCTGAAAAATTCCTTTCTTCATTCAAACTAATACCAGTAAAATGCCACCCCATTCACTAAACCAGTGCAATTCACACTGACTTATTTTATAATCTCACAACTTGTCCTTTTTAAAATCTTCTCATGAAGCCACCACTATGAGTTCCATGGTCATGTGATTTAGAAATATTATGCATGCAGTGAGACAGGAATAACTACGGACACAGCTCTTTTTGGCTTCAGCTTCTCATAGTTCAAGTTGAAAAATTCTCTTACATCTAGCATGACAGATTGAAATAAAGTCATAAGATAATCCAAGTGTTCATCAAAGTTTAGTCATGCTGAAATATCATGTCAAAGAGTGGAAGAAGACAGCTGGATGTGATTATATATGAATGAGCTCTGAAACATATATTTATGATTTGAGTAAAATGAGGACATGTAGAGTCAATTTACAGATAGAAGAGACAGCTTGTATATCTGGGGGGGGGGCGGTATATGCAGATGGAAGCATTAGAATGTTACATCATGTGAATGTAGTCAGATTTTTAGAGTATTTTCCCAGAAATCATTGTAACTTCACATCATTGTGGGTATTCTTCATGGGATTTTTTGAGTTACTACCTAGGAGTTTAACTGGTAGCTAATAATTAAACCATCATTAACTTGTGTAATACTTTGAAACAAGATACCAGGTGTTTGAAGCCACGCATTGGTATTAAGCATATGTTCAGGGTCAGATGTCTGTGTGTGGTGAATTATTTTTGCTTATATAGATTGTAAAAGGACAAATTCATGGTGATGTGCAAAGAATTGAAGCAGTCAAACTAAAATATGTGCACATGAATAAAATCAGTTCATATAGAGTATTCATACAGAAAAACTCAATTGTATAGTTTTCTGAGGAGAGAATTGATGTAATTGAAAGTTTATTGATAATAGATATCTAGTCAGAGTTTTATTAAGTTTTCATTGTTGTTACTCTTGTCACAAGGAAAAAATCCTGACATAAAAAGCAAATAAAGAGGCCAGGAATAGAACTCAGCAGCTCAGCACCTGACTGTCAAGCATGAAATGCACAGTTCGATTTTCAGTAGGAAAAAAAAGAGTAAATGAAAAAGTTAATTTTGGCTCATCATTTCTGAAACTTCAGTCTTGGTTTGAACACTTCAAATGCACAAGTTTCATAGTAAATATAAGTACAGGACAATGATACTAGCTTTCAGAGACCCAGGGTACAGAGAGAAGGGAATCAGGCTGAGAGGAAGGAGCAAGCCTCCAGATTTGGTCCCTCCCTCAAGTGATGCTATCATGCCTCAGCAGACTCATCAAGAAGTGCGCTTTAGTAATATACCATGTATCTGTCAAGCAAAACAAGCTAGTACACACGTGTATCGCCTGACTCAACGTATTTTTTTTCGAGGAATATTAACGTTAAAAGGTGAATTCCAACTTGTGATGATGAGTCACACCTGGGGACATGGGGCACTTACAGTTAAAACTCCTTTTGTAACCCAGAATCATCACCGATAAGCGCTCAGGTGAATCAAATGTGGAGAATCAAGTGCTGGAAAATATTTATCTTTAGAATTGAAGTATTTGTTATGAGCATGGATAACTGTGAATGTTGTCTGAGAGAGTTAGATGCTTGCCTTCTTTTCATTTTTACTTTTTTGCAGAGTATTGCTATTAGGCAACTCAAATTGAGAGACAGTGCGAAAGTCTTAGCAATGAAATTGACTGCCTCATTCCTAACAGCAGAGCCTCGCTCTGTTCCATTTTATCCTGAACTGGCCTCCTGATATTTTCCATCATCAGGGGCGGGATTCTTCCATAGGACAATAACCTTGGAACCTTTTGGGCACATCTGTGACCCATTTTTAGGAAGAATTCACTGAGTCCATTAAGGAAACTACAGCAGCTCTGAAAAGCCAAGAGTAAAGCCCTTAAATGCAAGCGTTCCTCAGGGGAGGTGAGACTGTCTCCTAAGGAAAGCCACTAGTCCACAATTTCCTGGGTTACAAACTATTAAGGGAGGCCAACCTTGATCTTAAGTTTGTTTCTCCCTTCCTTCTCAGCTCCGCTGAGTGGCCGTGAAGCAGGAGCCAATCAGCGACGAAGGCGGGCTGCCTGAATTACCCAATCAGATGGGGCCAAGGAGCGGGCATTTCCTGTGTCAGGGTCGCGCAGTGAGCGTTGTGAGTGCCTTGCTGAGAAGCTGCAGTTGTCTAGACCGTGTTTCTTCTCTTTATTTTTCTTGTTAAACTACTGGTATTATTGTGTGAATTCTACTTGCTGCATGGTGCACTCGAAGGATCCTTGGAAACTCTTAAGCCACGCAATGGTGACGTTGTGGGACGGAGGTGGGGATGGAATGGGGTGCGTTTGAGATGTAAATGGTGAGAAACAGCCCTGGAGATCCACAGCCTCCCTGCTGAGCTCGGGACACTGGGGCTGGCCATTTTCTGTTGCTGCATCTTCATCTGTAACTCTGCTCAGGCGCGAAGAGTTCTGGGTCTCCAGCATAGTGCTATTCGTGTTTATTTATTTATTTTTTTGAGACAGCGTCTTACTATGCACTTGTTTTGTTTTGTTTTTTGGTCTTTTTCGTTTTTATCGGTACCAAGGATTGAACTCATGACTGCCTGCTTGCAAGGCAGGCGATTATGCCGCTGAACTAAATTTCCAGCCCCACTATGCACTTTAGATTGATCCTAAACTCACTATGTAACGTAGAAATCGCAGCCTCCCAACTGCTGTAATTACAGTAATGTTACACCACACCCGGCCAACCCAGGACACACTCTTCGTCGGTCCTGGGCACAGCTTGTTCTCCAGCAGTCTGCCTAGCAGGAACTTGGGAAACAAAGGGGTTTCACGCTCAGCAGTGAAAAAATCATCATTGAAATTTCTTAAACGAGACCTCTGCTTGTTGTGGTTGCTGCACGAACAGAGCTCGTGCTCTAACAACATCTTGGAATGATTTTCTGAACCAAAAAATGTGTTGGGTTTTTAGGCGCTGTTGAGAAACAGAGATAAGGAAAAGCCTTCATTGCCTGCGCGGGAGGATTGCAGAAGATGCCCAGGACCCTGGGACAGTGGAAGCTGGGAATCTACTTCTAGGCAGTTGGACTCAGGGTGGTGACTGGATCTCGGTGTCGGGAGAGGATTGGAGGAGGATCTTTGGCGCGCCTGCGGAAGAAGAGCAGGACATTCATTTGGGTATGAGAAAGAAATAGGGAAGTTGAACTGAACATGAGGTTGGAGGCCTCCTGTTGAGTCACAGTGCTGGTGAGGCCCGCAGAGCCTCATCTTGGAAATAAGAAGTAGGATAGGTTCTTGATTTTTGGAAGTGTCCCGAGTGAGTATCACTGTAGCCATGAAACCAGAGTAAATTACAGATAAATGGAGCATAATAAAAAATACTCTGTTGTTTGGTAGTAACCTAACTCACTTGCCTCTCAGCATTTAAAACTACTGCTCTAAACTCGGGCAGTGTAACAGTTCATTAGCACACACTGTTTATAAAAGAAAGAGATTTTAGAGAAACACTGCTTATTTTGCATTTAAATTCCTGGAAACTCAGGAGCTTAGGCATGAGTGCAACTTCTTTTAGTAGGGAAGGTCTGCATTTCTTGCTAGGCAGGAAGTTCAGCCTTGTTCCTGTCAAAAGCTCAGAAACCCAAAATGTGGTGAACTTATTACTTAATGTGCCTTAATAACTTGTTCTCTTTCTGGAAAACTTGTGTAATTGCCAGTTAAGTTGTAGTCTTGCAACATACCCACCATGTGTAACTCCCTCCCTGACTCCCTGGTTGCTGTAACTGTTTGTTCTGCCTCCCTGGTTCCTGTAAAACTGAACCAAATTACCTTTTATGGAGACAAACTGATCCTAAGACCCTGACCCTTCTCCTTGTGGCTTGCTACTTTATAAACTCGCTGCAGCCCCTTGCTCCTTGCTCACTTCCCTGGGCAAGGGAAGGGTTTGGGGACAGTGTGGCTGCTGAGCTCAGCTAATAAGGCACTTTCTTCTTAATTGTTTCGGAGTCTGTCATTTTTCTGCCCGTATCAGGTCCAACGGTCTATTCTCATTTTAACCCTTACCAAAATGTCTAATGTTATAATTGTATTACAGGTGCTTCCCTTGCTAGGCACCTTACTTGTATGCTAAAAAACACAAAGTTACTGAAATAGGGGTAAATTCTCATAGTTAAGTCACCTGACAATTGAATGAATAGAACAAAAGGACTTTTTGAATAGGCAAAAGCAAATGGGTGTGAAAGGGAAATGGGAGAGGGGGTATTTGGAAAAGTGGCCAAAATCAGCATCCACAGAATTAAATTTCTCCAGAAGTCAGATTGTTCTCAGTGTGATAATGAATGAAGGATTCTCTGCTGGCTTGTTGTGAGATTAGGTCTAAAGTTACAGGCCTCAATAAAGGAGGAGAGTTTGGTGACAAAGATTTTTCTTCTGTGGCTACTTGTCAGCTTACTTAATCTTCTTTTGTTTTGTTTTTGGTATTGGGGATTGAACTCACGACCTTGAGCTTGCTACAGTCTGTTTGCCAGTATCTTACTGAGGATTTTTGCAATGATGATGGTCATTAGGACAATTGGCCTGTAATTCTCTTTCTTAGTCGGGTCCTTCTCTGGTTTGGAATGAGAGTAATACTTGCTTCCAGGAATGAATTTGGGAGTATTGTTTCCTTTCAGTTTTTTTTAGTTTGAGAAGTAACAGTGTTAGGTCTTCACTAGATTTGTTGTCAAATTTAGCAGTGAATCCATCAGGACCTGGGCTTTTCTTTGTTGACGGACTTTTAATTACATCTTTGATTTCATTTAGTGATATTGGATTATTTAGGAATTTTATATCTTCTTGACTTTGGTATTTCATGTGTATCTAGGTATCTGTTCTGTATTTTCCATCTTGTTAGAATACAAGTTTTCAAAGTAGGTATGGAAGATTTTCTGGATTGCTGCAGGGTCTGTGGTGATTTCACCATTTTCAATCCTAATCACATGGATTTGAATCCTTTCTTTCCTTTTTTTTTGATAAGGTTAGCTAAGGGTTTGTCAATTTTATTTAATCTTTCAAAGAACCAACTCTGTGATGCATTGATTCTTTGTATTTTTTTTTTTTAGTCTCCAGTGTGCTAATTTCTGCTCTGATCTTTATAATTTCCTGTTTTGTACAAGCCTTTGGTTTACCCTGCTCTTCTTTTTCTAAAAACTTGAGGTTCAACATTAAGTTGTTTATATGTGCTTGCTCTGTTTTCCTGATATGAGCATTTACTTCTATAAATTTCCCTCTTTAGACTGCTTTCATTGTGTCCCACAAGTTCCAGTATGTTGTATTCAACTATAAAAAAAAACTGTCTAATTTCTTCTTTGATTTCATCTGTGACCCATTAATTGTTCAGTAGGGTCCTATTTAATTTCTGTGTGTTGATAAAGTTCTTGTTGTTTCCTTTGGCATGGATTTTCAATTTCATTGCACTGTGGCCTGTTAGTATGCATGGATTAATATCATTTTCTTTGTTTGCTTAAGCATGTTCTATGAGCCACTATAAGGTCTATTTTGGAGAATGTGCTATATGCAGCTGAGAAGAATGTGTATTCTGATATTGTGGGGCAGACAGTCTATAGACATCTACTAAGTCCGTTTGTTCAAAAGTTTGATTTAGTTCAGATATTTCATTATTGATTTTTTTATGCCTCACTTATTTGTATGTCAAATTCTTTCTGTGTACCAGGAAAGTTTTCTGTCATGATGTCTGTGAACATGTTTTTAATGTCGTTTGTGGTATTTCCTGCTTGTTCATTGACTCCAATTAATCTTAAGTTGTTCTTCTTTGTCTCATCTAGCAGCTGCTGGATTGATTTCTCATAGTTCCTTGCTAGTTTTGAGAAGTCTTTCTTATCCTGGTTGCTAACTGCAAGGTTGTCTTCAATATCTGAGATCATGTCATCACATTGGCCCAATCTACTTTAAATACTTTCAGTGGAGTTTTTATTCCCCTGAATATGTGCCTGTATCTGCTTTATGGATTCCATTTGTTTCCTATGTTGTGCTTCCATAATTTGCTTAAACTCGTCTATTTTTTTTGTCTATGTGCTATAACATTGCTATGCATGGTGTATATTTTGGTAATCTCTGTAGCTATTTGAGAGATTATTTCTGATTTCATTTTTTCCAGAGCCTCATTCAATGCTTTGTTGTTTCCACTTCAGAGAGACTTTGGTGGGGCCTTTTGGATTGTCTCACTTCATTGCCTCCTGGGTTTGCCTTTGATGAATTGGATGTCTGGGGTTGCATCTTGTTTAAGTATCTTCTCATTTCTTTTCTTTTTTAGTTTAATGCCTGGGGTAATGCTTGTAAGTTTCCTATGGTGGGTTGCTTTCTTGGTGGTATTTAGGACCTGGAAGTGATGATTACGTCTTTGAGGTATCTTCCAGGTGTACCTGGTTTTGGGTTTTGACTCTGTTACAAGATCTTATCTCCTGGTTTGATTGAGATGAGAAGCTGTTGCTCATTTGGCCTAGTCCCTTGCTCTGTGACCCTTAGTTAATCTCAGTCATGTGTTATCTGGCCAATAGCTGTTTACAATAATTGTGTCAGTTTTGGCTGTAGCGGTACCAATAGCATCAAACAGCCTAGAAAATGTCAAACTGAACTAACCCGTAATTTGTAACTTTTAACTGTTTGAACTAGATTTATAATTATATAGCAAAATGTAAAACAAACCAGATAAGTATATGCTGTATGTAAGTCCGTATTATGTCAATTTTGCCCTCATGGTTAAAATTTAAAATGGTCTAAGGAGAAAATAGAGAAGCAGAAAAAAAGAAGGAGATTACAAGTAAGGTTGGAGGACAAAAAGGGTCCTGCCAGCTTGGGAAAGCTGGTGCAGAAGATTGGAAGAAAAGTGAGGTGGAAAAGGTAGAACAAAACAGAACAACACCCATGAAGCATACAGGAACCACTGTCACACTTATTAAAAAAAGAGAGAGAAATAAAAAAGAAACTGAATAAAAACAAACAAACAAGGAGAGGACAAATCCCCCCCCCCCAAATAAAACAAAAACCAAATAGTCCACTTCCAGGATTCTCTCTGGGTTCTCCACTCTGCTTGTGGAGACAGAGCCAGGAATCATGCTATTGTATTCCAGCAGCCCAGCTGTTGTTTTATGGCAGAGTAGTAGATAAGCTTAGCAGGCCCGCCTGAGGCAAAACTCATTGAGCTCACCACATTCCAAGTAATTTCCACAGGTCTGTGCCAGCTAGGAGCTGCTGGAGGAATCTGGCAGAAGTTCTGGGTTTTGCACTTAACTGGCCCAGCTTCAAAATGGCTCCCTGGCAGTCACTGTTCCCCGCAGAAGGACCCAGTCCTCTGCACTCACTGCCCTCTGGTGCACTCCACACCCACTGCACCCATTCACTGCTTGGCTCTCTGCAGAGGCCTCCAGGATTGCCAGCCATCACCAGCATCATGACCATGTGTTCTCAGGTTCCATCAGCTCCTCTTGCGCAGTTCGTCCAGCTTCGGAGGAAGATGCCACCTAATTTTTGGTTGAAGCTTTTGTTTTTACTCTCTCTGTGGGCTTCACTTCACACTTGAGATTCTTCCTGGGTCCACAGGACCCACTTGATTCCTTTTTGTCTTGTGAGAGTTGACCCCCCTGCTACAACCCCCTCCCCAGAGCGGGGAATGAAAGAGTTAACTCCCTAACTCCCCAGAGCGGGGAATGAAAGGGTTAACTCCCTAACTCCCCAGAGCGGGGAATGAAAGGGTTAACTCCCTAACTCCCCAGAGCGGGGAATAGAAGAGTTGACTCCCTAACTTCCCAGAGCTATCAAAACAGAGCAGTAAAGAGTGCTTCACTCCCTAAACCTTTTCCCAGGAGATAGTCAGAGCGGGGCCAAAGGGAATGTCTCTGCTAGTCATTAGCCACTTGATGTTCTGTTCTTTATAAAGATAGAGATAGGCAAAAGAATGTACTGTATAAACAGGACCAGGGAGCACCTGGCACTCTAAGGTCAACCCAAGACCCTCGGTCTCCATGGTTACTCAGCCCCAGACCCTCAAGTCAGCATTAGCCAGGTCCTGCGCCGCTCAAAATTAACCAATGCGATTTGCTTCTGTAAACTTGCTTGCCTCCTGCGTGTACCTTTAAAAACCCTGCACAAATTCCCCTCGGGGCCCCTCCGCACACGTTTGCCTG